GACATAGCTCCTTTAACGCGGTGCTGTAACATGCCTTTCCTTCAAAAAGAAAATTAAATCCGCCACTGGTGGGTGTTTCAGTGGCTAGTCTTGCCTGAACGCCTTGCATCTTGTGTGCTATCCTATTAGAAATCCAATACAATGTCAATGTTTGTACAAGTGTATTTATTACTGGCCTCCGAGGATAAGAATCATTTGGTGCCTGTTTGGAGAGACACGTAAGCGTTTGTTTCCTCCACGAACAGGAATATATCCTCGTTTTCCGTGTAGCTTGGTTGATTCTGGTGCGGAGTAGTTTAGTGTAGGGAAACTGAGCCTAATAGCCTTTTTAATGATTTTAGTGATATTTGTGAAAAGTAGTCATCAGAATGAGGGCCAAAGGACATAATTTGCATCTGCCGGTGGTGCTGAATCCCTCTACGTTTAAACCGATCCTGGAAGAAATATATCAGTCTGCTCAAATTTTACGAAATATTGTCAGTTCTCGACCGCTAAATTCGTAATAATTGCTAAGATCATGTTGGTTAGCTGCATGCATCCTTTATTTGAGATTGCTAATCTGAGGAAATTTACTGGGTCGTATAGATCAGACATAGGGAAAAATCTTTCTCATGCCACGCACTAAGCGTAGATGAGAGCAGGAAACTATACGCTGACAGCCCAAAATCTAGACTACAAGTAGTCCCTCTTTCGCTCAGACCGTCGTGCGTGATGCCAATGGAAACCGCGAGAACAAAAATGGCCGCGCGAAATCCTGGGGTCAAGAAGAGCGCGAAAGTAGGATTTCACGCGGCCACTTTTTCCTCGGGGTTTATTTACTATCTTGCTCGACAGACTAAGCGAAAGAGAGACTACTCGTAGTGTACCCAAAACTATAGCAGTAGATGTAGGGGTGCGAGGGAACTTACTCTCTAACGTTGTCTATTCATAGATCTATCTTCACATAACTCTATTTGAACTCTCACTTTGCAGATTAACGAATATCAGCTGCACCAAGACAGTTCAGTTGTCACTGCCTGGTCAGGCAGTTTTGTGAGTCTCCGGACCATTTCACTTGTCTAAGTATGTCAACTCTTTTTAACCGAGAACTCTTTTTTTAACTGATCCAAAGCATAATTATTCCGAGCTTATCTCGTAATCGTCTTTTATAGTTTATGTAAGCTCTTTCAAGGTTCTTTTGTGGACTATTTACAGACTTAGGTATAATCTAGACTCATTGTCTCAGTTAAGTTCTTGGCAGTCTTTTTTGTACGACAGTTGATGGTTTAAAAATTTTGCAATTGATCTTTGGCAGTTCTTAAAAGTAAAGCGTTAACCAAGCTGACCATGTTATACACGAATAATCTTCGGATATGGGACAACAGAGCGCTTAAAAAGCAGTTAAAGCCAGTACCCGGAAAGAGAGAATCATAATGGTGGGCTATATTTGACCATTGCACGATTCAAAATATCGCTTTTCTACGGTAGACGTTAACACTTAGGCCATTTGGCCGCTGAAGATTATTAACAAACAAATGGATTAACTATATATTTACAAATTGATTCACTTTACGTTAACTATAAAATGACGATCTACATATGTTCGAAGACCAGTTGTGACTCTCTTTAAACTGAGAGGCATTATCATTTCAATTGCACCATTGTCTCAACAACAAAAGGACGCAACGATATTAACCATTCGCGAACGATACAATGTGCGTAATCAAATTAAAATTATACGTCAATTTTTTACTAATTGCTTTGGAAATAGAGATGCTTCTCTCCAAGCACATTAGCAATACTTTCATAGCGGCTCGCAGTTAGACTGCAGCTAGTATAGGAAAACTTTCGTTATATCACGGGTTATCATAGAGTGGACTTTCGTCGACTTTGCAAAAGGCGGCGTTGTCGTTACACATAGAAGATTGTTGTTGTGCCTCGTTGTTTGCGTAAACTGGGACATCATCTAAACATTCAACACCAAGATTTTGGACAACGCTCTCGTTGACGTAAATTACTTCTGACTGCACACCAGC